GGTACTACTCACTGCATCTACGAATCTGTGCAAGCAGCAAGCTTATTGTCTGTTGTCCATGAGCATCTCCCACGCTTACTTAAGCAGCGCGATCACGGCAGCACAATCGGCAGGTCCGTCAGTCCGTCGTCAATCGCAGCATTAAGCGCGGAAAGAAAAAGTCTGGCATAGACAACAAGCTCGGTGGCGACCTCCTGGGCGAGGCGGATGATAGAGTGCTTGACGGTGACGGATGTCATACAGCCACACAATCTGAAATTAGATTTGTATGCATGTATGTATGTATGTATGCATGAATGAATGAATGAATGAATGTATGTATGTGTGTATGTATGTATGTATGTATGTATGTATGAATGTATGTATGTATGTATTTATTTATGTACGTATGTATCTCTATATATATATACACACATACATGTTTCTGTATATATATATATACATGTATGAATATATGTACATATATATATAAGATACATACATAAATACATATCATGTGTGTGTACATATAAAGGTTATAAACGCATAAACTCCCGACGCTCGGCACTTAAGCAGCTGCATCATGGAAACGGCACATCCCGTCAACCTATCAGGACTCCGAGTCTCGCGCAATCGTGCAACAAAGAATTAGGGCTTTAGGGTTCCTTTTTTGGGTTCCTTAAAGGGTTCCTTAAGGGGTTCTATAGGGTTTAGGGCTTTGGGGGTTTAGGGTTTTAGGGGTTCAAAGAAGAAGAACACAAAAACGGCCATGCAAACAAACACAAGGGATTAGGGCATAGGAGTTAAAAAGGCCTATATAGGACAAACACATGCTGTTTCAATAAGCATACCGCAAATGTGGTCTAACGTAGAATAATATTGACACTCAGTTTAATTTTGACACTCAGTTTCGCTGCTCGCGAAACCACTTTTTTTCGGTTTCTTCGCAGCCAGAAAAAGTTGCAGCTTGTGGCCAGTGGCCCAGATGACATGATAGGGCCGCCGGTCAAGATAACAACGATGACGATACTGATGTCAACAGTGATGCGGTGCTGCAAAAGAAGACCATCATCTCAACCATGAACGCACAACTCCGATGCCGTACCCTCTTGCCGCCTGGCGCTAGAACTGCTACGTGCGATTCTACAGCAACACCGCATCCCTAAATCCATGGCCGTAAAAGTAAACCCTGAACATGGCGAAAACGTCCAAAACCCTAACCCTAAATCCTGACACCCGACAAGTCCTAAGCCCATGGCCCCAAGCCCTAAGTCAACCCTTCGCCTCAAAAAGCGAAGCCCAATAACCGTAATTACCAGGTAGACCCTAAACCCATAACTCCTAAACCCTAGGCCTTTAAGGCTATGTAACTAAACCCAAACCCCAACCCTCACTCTGCAAACCCCACTTGTGGATCCCTTATAGAGGCCTTCTGTTGTAGAAGCCACAAAGTTGGAACATTATAAACCCTCATGCCGGTACGGCAAAGTGCACAACGGATCCTAGCACCAATTCTCCTAAACCCAAGGAGCTGAATTGGGGTCGTGAGGCATTATATGTATAGTAACCCAGGTGACTGAGTCCCATGATCCCAAACCCGGCTTCGAGCTGTCCTTGTGGACGGCCGCAGCCTTAAGAAGCTTCTCGTCGCTGAGGCAAAGCATCGTCGCCCCTTCAGGCCGGCGAGCTGGATTCGGGTTTAGGGCTTTCGGATTTGGGAGTTTGAGGCTTTTTCAAAGCTTTTGAATCTCCACGTTTTGGTGGTGAAGGTTTTGGGTTTTCAGGCTTCGTTGCTTAATGTCTTGGGTTTAAGGGTGTTGTGTTCTAGTTTTTTGGGATTGCCGGGTTCATCCTTGATATTTAGGGGTTTAGGGTTTCGAGATTCGTGGGTTGAGAGTTTACCCTAAGGGTCCGTGTGCCCGAACACTATATGCTGTGGCCCCAGAGTCCCGTAGAAGTAGGGATTACTGTTTAAGGCCAAAGTGTGTGTGTATATATATATACACACATACATATATATATATGTAAACGTACATATTTTTGTATGTATGTATATATACATATGTATACATACATACATATATATATATATATATTTTTCATTTATTCATATTTATTTATATATACCTATGTGGGCACATGGACCCTTAGCGTTGGGGCTCCGGGCATTAGTCGGGTTTGCGACTAGGGGCCCATGGCCTAGGGCTGGGGTTTTGCGGCTCGTGCGATGAGCGTGCAAGTTTTGAAATTGCAGTTTGGGAAATATAAGGGATAGAGTTTAGTGTGAGGGCAGGGAGAAGGAATCGCGGCCTTCCGAGCATACAGAGACTCTTACAAGACGGGCTAGAAGTTAAGGACTTACGGGTTCAGGGAGACATGACTACACGGGTTTTAGGGCGTGCGTCTCCATGGCTGCAGCGCACAAGCAGGATTGGGACCGAAGGCTGTGCAGGGGTCGATGAACGAACACCGTGGAAACAGTAAAGGTCAGATAAAAATAGAAGAGGGTTTGGGGGAATATTCTCCTATATTATATAGGAGAATTTACTACCAATAGTATTCGCTTAGAGTCCCTATATTATAGGGTCGACCATTATAGAGACTCGAAGGGGATGCTATTAGTAATTCACCTGGGCCAGGCGGAAGCGGTCAACTTTTCAGGAGTGAGAAGCTTCGAGTTGCGGAATCGATTTAAATTCGGATCCTTGTGCAGGGCCCCCTATGAGTGCGGAGCCCAACTTCCGCCGAAGCCCCTAAAAGCGTACACTTAAGCTACGAAGCCTAAGTGAACCCTTAAAGTGCCCTAGATCCCAAACCCCAGCCTATACCCAGTAATCCCCAACACAACCCTGGACTCCTGAACATGGGTAGTTCTCGAAACTAGGGTCCCTTTTAAGGTTTTTTCTTTATATATATATATATATAAAAGGGTGCCGTACTATGCTTGGGCACCTAAAAAGGGGACCCTAATGGAGAGAACTACCCAGATCCTCAATCTACAAGGCTCCTGCAGGCGACTCCGCTTTGCCGCGGTAGTGCCAGGGAGTCCAGAGGCACTGTTCACAAAGCCACTCTCCTGGTGACAGGGGTTGAGGGGCTTAGGCTTTGGGGTTTCTGGTGGGGTTCAGGGTTCAGAGTTTCCTGCAGGAGTTAGGCTTAGGGGGAGCCTTGGAGATATGGACCCTCTCAATAAGGCCCCCTTTTAAGAGAGCCAAAAGTAGGGTCCCCTTGAAGGGGTCTCGGGGTCTCCATCATACTACCAAGGATCCTGGTGACAGGGGACAGGTTACACCAAGTGACGCGAAGATTCGGACTTCGGAGGGCGAATTGGGTGCTACAGTAAACTGTACAGAATTTAGGGTTTGGGGTTTAGGGGATAGGTTTCAGGATCCGCCCCCTGTTGCAGCCAAGCCGGCAGAAACACGTCGACTGCTGCAGCCGCATAAAGATAGACTCCCAAAACAGAGGAGCATTCGGAAATTATGTGCTGTGTGCCCGAAGTGCGACATACGCAGTAGCCCTGCATTCTTGCAACTTCGGGCGTTTATGTCTCGTTTCACGAAACGCAGCCCGAGGATGGGTCAAGCTGTCACAGGGTTTAGGGTAGACGGTTTCTGTAAGCCAATACCATTGTGGGGGTACTGACTATGTGTATAGCTATTGTGTAATATACACCAACTACCTAGTCTAAGTATTAAAGGCATTAAGGTTCAACTGTCCCTAAACCCTTAAACCCTTAAACCCTTAAACCCTAAACCCTTAAACCCTTAAACCCTAAACCCTAAACCCTAAACCCTAATAACTTTGACCTGAAGGCGGCAGAAACGGAACTGCTAAGCTCAGCTGCGTCGTCCTGGTCCCAGATGCTGTTGGACAATGGGATTGCTGTCAGATGGCATAACCTCCAAGGCAAACGGCAAAGTGTGAGCATGTGAAGTAGTCTGTAATCCTTCATATGCCCTACTTCATGTCGTGCCAAGACATTGAGACATTGATGGCCGATGCATCGAGTCGGATAAATGCTCATTTGCAGCTTGTGATGCTGCCGCTGCTGCTGCTGCTGCTGCTGCTGCTGCTGCTGCTACCACTCCTATGCGCCACTAACCTATAAATTACAAGCCAAGCGGCTGAAGAGAAGTCTTTACGCGCCTGTTCCGTTCGTAATGTTGTGGACGAGTTGGTGCCTGCTTGCGGTGGCGAGGCGGCTGATGGCAAAGCAGAACTTCCAACGCAAGCAGCACACGAAAAAAAACAGAGACTTAATGATTTAATCCATGCGGAGGCCCTGAGTCCAGACTGAAAAACTACCTGTTCGAGGGTCACATAGCAGCTGCCACAATGCAGAGAAAGAACACGCAAAGTTGCTAACGGGATTCGCAATAGCATTCCGCAAGAAACATACAAGTAATGGAAGTGTTTGCACGTTCTTCATGCAGACCGTCTCCATCATCCCCATCATCCTAATCGCCATCATCATCAGCAGCTGCATCATCATCATGATCATCATCAACATCTGCATCATCATCAGTGCCACGACCAGCCTCATCCTCACCATCACGACCACCATCACATGCGATGATAGCTTGAGCAACCGCACTACTGCCTCGAAATGTTGCCTGGGGCTGCATGTCTGCAAGGCCTCTGCGAAGAAACAGGTTCCCAAGCCACCAACCCGAAGGGCCCATAACGAAACTGAGCCTTCGATTCGGAAATGATCAACGCTGCTGTCGATTCTTGCGAATTACAGCAAGACTCAGCAAGAGCCCAAAGGGTTAGGGAGCTAGGAGCATGCTTCTTCGCAAACTGCTTAGAAACTTTGCCGTAGTAAACTCCCAGGCTGTGTTCGACATGACAATATTATATAGGGGGGGGTCAACGTTTCGAATGACTACAATTCTGTAGACGCAAAACCCGGTTTAGGCTTCAGGGTTTCTGGACTGGGCCATATCAACCCGAAACCCTCGCCCCAGTTCCTGGAAGTATCCATCTCCGTTCTAAGGCAAGAGTCTGTAGAACACCTCTCCACTTGCCACGAAGAGCATGGCCGAACATTTCCGCCCAAAGGAGAACAGAACCTGCGGATTGATGCGGGCTAGAAGAACGTGAAAACAGCCGTTTAGGGTTTAGGGTTCAGGGTTTAGGGAACAGCCACGTGGGAAGACAAACCTGGTTGTGATGATGCAGGGCTTTGGGTATTGCCCTGTTTGACCTATCGAGCATCAGGGACAGGGACCTCCTGGGGTGCGACGTTCCAGTCGCTGATGCACTCCACGCACACTTCGGTGTAGAAGGCCGCGTAGCGCACTTCGAGCCCAAGCAAGAAGTCCTGATGTAACAACATCAACAACAACAACATAAACAAACAGGCGTCATAATATTAACCATACCAATCGTAGCTTACTCAGAGCAGGCTATCTACAAGGCAGGTCATCCCAGGCTCCCGAGACCCGAAACCCTTTACAAAACACCTAAGGATAGCCTACCCTTATCCTTAAAACCCTGAAGCCTTGAACAAGAAACCCCAGCCCCTAAACCCCGAAACCTTTCGTCCCTAAACTCTTAAATCCTAAACCCTAAACCCTGTTAAATCCTAAACCCTAAACCCTCTTAAATCCTAAAGCCTCGCCCTTGGAGTCGAGCATCATGCTTCGCAAGGAGCGGAGACCACGCTTCCCGGCAGAGCTCCCGATAGAGGAAATCCTGGGTGGGGGACTCTGGGTTTTTGGCTGAAACTTTTAAGAAACTGAACCACTGGTGCATGGATTTTTCTTGTGGGTTTTGAGGAGCCTAGCTTTGGTTATCATTGTCGGGATTGTCGTACAAAAGATGGCTTGCTTATGAGGGGAGCTTCTGATATGAAGTTCCTTCAATCGTCTTGGTCTGGCTCCAAGGCTCCATGGCATGTCATCAGCATGTAACTGGAATCCACATCCCCGTAAGGTAGTAGTAGTAGTAGTAGTAGTAGTAGTAAAGTTCTCTGCTGGCATATGCAGGCACTAGACTACGACCACTAAAACAACAACAACAACAACTGCCATCACGGCCACTACTAGTCATTAATATTTCTGCCTCGGCTAGTTCTGGTTCTACTTCTACTTGTGCTGCCACTGCTGCCACTACAACCACGACTACTCCTACTGCGTAACACTCGCCACTACCAGCACTGCTGCGACTGCTGCGACTGGCAGTCAGTGCCAACTCCTCCCACTGCTCTCCCAATTCTTAGCACCACATACGACGCTTCACAGCCCAAGGGCGTGTATAACACTTACAACAAGGGTTACTAAGAGGGATATCATAATTGGGGCTTACTGCAAGGGGTTCTATAAGCAGGTTTACCACAAGCCATACTTCGTGTTTCTTCTATAAGTAAGAACCTGCCCTCTGAGCGGCTGGGAGCAGAGTTGCCATCTCGTTCTTGCCGGGTGGGTGGACCTGCCAGCATGATTTATCATTTATCAATCCAACAAGTGTTACCTCCTGCTAGTTTATCTTTTCTTTCTTATGCATGCTCGTTACTCTCTCTCTCTCACTCTCTCTGTCTGTCTCTATCTCTCTCTCTCTCTCTATATATATATATATATACATATACACATACATACATACATACATACATACATACATACATAGATAGATATGTACATATTCCCACATCTGTGAATAGATACGTATAATATATATATATGTATGTATATACACACACAGAAAAACCGTTATATATGTGCATATATATATATATGAATACGTACATATGCACGTTGCATACATACCTACCTACCTACCTACCTACCTACCTACCTACCTACATACATACATACATTGCATGTAAGTATGTGTGTGGCATGATCATATCTGGCTTTGGCATGTTGGGCTTTGGTATACTATAGCAGACTTGGAAGGACGTCTGACGGGTTCCGATCGAGCATGTCTGATTAGGGAATTCTGTACGCTTGTAACCCGATAGCCTCTACCGGAAATGACAGAGTACCAATCTCTCTGGGCATCAGAACCTGGAATCTGGATCGTGTTATATCATTGTCCGAAGATGCTGCGTACAGCTGAAGATGCAAGGTGCAGCTTTTGAATATGTGTGTGTACACACACGTCCTGTCTGTTTGTCTGCCTGCCTGCCTGCCTGCCTGCCTGTCGTCAGTCCTGCCTGTCTGCAATTTAGGCGTAATTGAAGTATATCTGTGTGCGGTGTAGAGAAGCAGAAGTGTGCCAGCTGCTTCAGCTTTGCCTCATGCTGACACAATTTGCCCATGGGCTTCGAGGGAACATCGTTTAGCATCATGTCCTTCAGATGTTTAGTATCATGTCATTGAGATATTTGTAGTGGCAAATGGAGGCTATGACTCCAGTACCAAGAATGGGCAACGAGCAGCAGGACCATCGAACTTGTTGCCGTTGTCGTTACATATCGTCGTCGCCATCATCATCTTGCATCAACGCTATCACCAGCATGGTCGTCGCCATGATCCTGATACATAAATCCTACACCCTGAAACCCAACACCTAAACCGCAATCATCGTCGTCGCGCAAACCCTACACCCTAAACCTCATCATCGTCGTCGTCGTGCCCGGAACCACTATCAAGCAAGTCAAGCCGAAGCACAAGAGTCTTCCGGCGCTGGAGATACCTGAGGTGAATAGCTCTGAAACCTTTGTTGCTACTATGATGATGATTATTGTTCTTATTATAAGTGTTCTTATTATTGGCTCTTTTTCAAACAAACTCAAAGTGTTTTGTCTACGGCTTATGGCCGTTAGATCTCTCGAGAAGTAAAGGATCAGGCCTGAGGTGAAAAGCTTGTGCTTACCTCCGTGGTGATCCTCACAGGGGCACGGTGCCGCCCGGAAGCATTAGGCCCAGCCTAAAGAATTCAGTAACAATTTCAATGGGCCTAGGGTTCCCCGGTAGACGCCAGATGAACTCCAGTTGACCATCAGCCATCACAAGTCCCCGCTGCAAACTGCCAAACTCACACAGCTCTGATGTGGTCACCGGCACAGTATGCAGCCAACTGAGAATGTATCAATATTGATGTGGAATGCTTGCTTTCGTTACCCTAAACCCTAAACCCTAAACCCTAAACCGGCAACCTTCTCCTGACGGCTCATGTCAAGAGGACCATGGAGTCTCACTGAGTCCGAGTTTCCCTGCTACCCTAAGCTTAACACTGGCTCCAACGCCCTGGAGTGTGAACCCCCAAACTGGTAATTATTTACGCCCCTAGATTCCTTCCTTAGAGTACCCTGGACCCGAAACCCGACAAGCTTGGAGCTAAGAGACGCTTTCAGCTCGACTTCCAGCTTCGTTGACACCGGGTACGTCCTTCGTCTTAAGGATAGCGCACTAGGGAAGCCCGGCCCATCAGTTCTTGGGGCTTTTGTCTTTGCCGGCCCTATTCCAACTGCAGTTGGTTCGTAGGGTTTAGGATTCAGCGTTAGGGTTTAGGGTATGGAAAACCCAAGTAAAACATGCATGTGCAGACTTCGGTCTCTATGTCTGTGTGCATGCGTGCATGCATGCGTGCATGCATGCATGTCACATGCATATGCACATATATATATATGTATATATATATGTATGTATATATATATATGTATATGTATGTGTATATGTATATGTATATGTACATGTATGTGTTGACTTATGTGCACTTACATACATTACATTACATTACGTTACATTACGTTACATTACATTGCACTACATTACTTTACATTCCATTCCATTCCATTCCATTGCATTGCATTACATTACATCACATTACATTCCATTCCATTCCATTCCATTCCGTTCCATTACATTTCATTACATTACATTACATTACATACCATAAATACATGCATACATACATACATACATACATACATACATACATACACACATACATACATACATACATACATACATACATACATATGTATATATTAGATATGTATGTACAGATAGATAGAGTCAGCTAGAATGTGTGCAGGAAACGCTATTCCCTCGTGGCCTGCGTCTGCTAGAGCACCATATGTACATACATACATAGACATGCATACATATATATATATACACACATTGTATGTTTGCATGTATGTATGTACGTATGTATGTATATATCTATATATATATATGCCCTTCAATCTGAGCCCGAAGCATTGAACACTAGAACTGCCGGCCCAATCCCAGCTCCTGATGTAGTCGGCAACCTGCTTTTCTGCCTCCTGCTGCCTTTGCTGCTGCAAAAGCTCCAGCACTGAGAACGATCACATGGGCAAGAACGCATACTGCGAACCGGCAGGAGCACTCCCTGTAACGCCAACGCAAACAACGAAGACAATAATTACATGCCGTAAGGCCGTTTCCGTCAAGGCGAACGACGTTGACAGCTGACACCGAAGTCAACTCTGTCGCAGGCTGCTGCTAAGCAGTGGCGGCAGCAGAGCCGGTAAGAACCCCAGCAACAGCGCCGCTAGGAAGAACAGCAACCACCACAAGCAGCACCAGCACAAGCAGCAGCAGCAGCAGCAGCAGCAGCAGCAACAGCAGCAGCAGCAGCAGCAGCAGCAGCGCAAACAAAAGGGCAGCAGCATACTCATCACCACGCCTCACTGTTTTCGTCCAATCTGTTCAATCAGCAACAGCCCGCACTCCTCCCGCTCTCAGACTGATACTATCTCCTCGCTCCTGCCACCTGTAACTCATCCCAACAATCGAAAATCCACAATCCTACATCAAGACTGTTGTGAAAAATGTGAGACACCTGACAGGGCCCAGCAGCACACTGTGGACACGACGGATATCCGAAATATCGTTGGTCACAATGGATGTGAAAATCGACGCCAAGACCAAAGCTAGCCTTTGCAAGGCTAGATGCTTTGAGGGGGTTCAAAGGGGCATTAGGGTTTTCGGTGTTCGAAGGTGTAGAGACCGAGCTTCTGTTGGTCGGTTTCTAGGGCCGAAACTTGGGGTTCCACCTCGCCTCTCCTGTTTTTGTACTGCCGTTCACAATTCAATGCTAAGGGTTGCTACTTCCACCGGTTTTTTTCTGCAGTTTAGGGCTGAAGCTGCTGAGACCTGCGATGCCCTGGGTTTAGGGTTTAGGGTTTAGGGCCCTAATTGGGCCTTGGAGGCTCAACGACTTCGAAGAGTCCCTGCCACCCTGAAAACAAGAAGACGGCCTTCACGGAAGGGGCATGGGCATAGGCATCTTTCCCTTGTGTCCTATGTGCCTTACTGGCTAACCCTTAACCAAAAAACCCTAACCCCTAAACCCTAAGCCCCCAAACCCTAAACCCTAAATCCCTAAACCCTAAATCCTTAAACCCTAATAAACCCCATGCAAGGCTTAGCTTGGAGTCGAGGCCCAGGCGGGCGCGGCGTCGCGGGAGATCAGCTCGATGAGGCTTTAGGGTTGAGGGTACCGTCGGGCGTCAGTGCAGGCTACAAGGGTGTCAGCACGGTTTAGGGTGTAGGGTTCAGGGGTTCAGGGGTTCAGGGTTTAGGGTTAGGGTGTCAGGGTTAGGGTTGAGCGTTCCACAGAATATCCTCAAAAGCTCTACAAGCTGCAGAACTCGTGGCTCTTCGGGATTGCAAAGCCGCAAGAGACCAAACGAGCCAAAACCCCATGATTGCGGAATATCCCCAGAAGATGCACGACGAGTATCAGCAATTCAATGATTTCTTATCACTCCTCGGCTAGGGGCAATATGGTGCCTGAATAATAAGAACAGAGTTGGGGGTCCATTACAATAGAAGTAGCCCCCCACATAAGGGCAAAACAGACTCTGCTCCAGATTCCCTATACCCTAAACCCTATAACCCTAAACCCTAAACCATAAACCCTATACAGTTAAAGTTATGTTACAATGGACTCCGAAGCACTATTCTGATTACTCGGCCTGTTTGAGTTGTTCAGGCCCCGAAATCCTAAGCCCTAAAACCCTAAATTAAAGCCCCTAAAACCCTAAAGCCCCTAAGCCCAAAACCCAAGCCCTATATTGCTGTGCTTTCTGGGAAAGGGGCCTGACGAGGCTTGCAGGAGATAGCGGGCCGAGGATCGAACAGCGGATCTCTGCGAAGTTCTAGCTTTTTGTCTTTAGGGTTTAGGGCTCAGGGGGTTTTCTATTTAGGGCTAAGGGCATGACGGCCTTAGGGCTTTAGAGTTTTTGGTGGTCTTAAGTAGGGAGATTCGGGCTTCAGGGGTTTGGGGGAATTCATCGCGTGTCGGGCTTAGGGGTGAGGGGTTTGTGATTGGGGGAATCCCTTTCTCGCAGAAGGGAAGCCCAAACAAGGGTAGGGCGACGGCAGGGTGCATAGCTATATAAAGTTATTAAAATTATGAGCCTACTCCGCTAGCTTCAACTGAGACGTAGGTCTGAGAGCCCCTTTTGGAACTTTGAGGGCTCTCCTAAACTAGGAAACCCGTAAACTGCAAAACGGTTCTCGTGCTGCCCAGGAGCCCGGTGGCAATGACTGAAAGTCCTCGCTCCATCTGCCTCTAGGCTTGGCCCGGTTTGCGGGCTTTGGATTTCGGTCTCGGGCTTAGGGTTTTGGGTGTAGGTTTGCAAGGGTCGGAACCCGATTGGTTAAAAACTCAATCATAGGAGGACAAGGGTGGTAGGTCTAGATCCCGGGCATTCGGGGGTCGATCTACGGTGTGCGGGCTTGTTCAGAGGATAGCTGAAGAAGTGGCTTCTGACAACACAGGAGACTGCTCCTCCCGCTAGTCAGAGAGGCTGCTATTTCTAGATAGGCACCAGTAAACCCCATGTAGTTCTACTCTTAACAGGGCGCCCTATAGTTCGGGAACCCAAAAGGGACCCAAATGCATTGTCACAGTTCCCTTCCGGTATGCAGCTGTGACAAGTGGGATCTCAGCCACTGAGCAATTCATACCAATTTAGGGTTTACCCACAGGCCCCTAAGTAGTTCCTTTTTATTATATGGTTTATATTTAGAATCCTATAAGGTAATCCCCAAAAGGAACTACTTAGGGGCCTATGGGTAGGGTTTAGGGTTTCCAATATCCAAGCAGCAACTCGGAACTCTTGTAGGAACGATATGTCGAAACCTATCAGGGAACCAGGGAACCCATAAACGCCAATGCCACTGCCCTAAGAGAAGGCCCCTTGTTAAGAAAACCTCAGACATTGAACAGAAGCCTGCAGCCAAGGCACGTTGTCAGCAGCATGTTTTCTGTCATCCGCGAGGGGGGCAGGCGTGCCATGGTAAATTCCTGAGGGCTGACGATAGGGTTGGGAGCTTCAATACCGATGGTCATAACAACACCCCTAAGCCCTAAGCCCCAAACTCTAAAACCGAACCCCAACACTTACACAGCAAACCTTCAAGCCACAACCATGAGCACGACGGCTAAAAACCTTCAGATTTCCTGGGAGCCGCCCGAAGACCCGTGGGGAGGCAGCATTGGGCGTAGGGTTTAGGGTGTAGTATGTTAGGTTTAAGGGTTAGGGTTTAGGATTTCAGGATTTCGTATTATCCGGTTCCATGGGAATCTTGAGCTTCCCAAAACCGAGTCTAGCATAGCCTAAAGACTGGAATCATTCATCATTCGTTTGAAGCAACGGGATAAATTCAAATTGCATCCAAGGCCCCAAACCCCTGAACTCCTACGTAAACCTAAGCCACTGATTAAACCCTAAGCCCGATAAGAATCCTTAAAACTATTAAATTCGTGATTTGGCTATCGCACTTGAACAACAAGCTGCTGGTATTTCAAGCCAAGATGCCATAGCAACCATGTACTGCTCCATCCTGGCAATTGCAAGTGGGTAGTGAGTTTAGGGTTTAGGGTTTGGGGGCTGGGGGTAAAGCAGGTGGCATCGAAAAACAAACCGAGCAAGCACACCCGTCGTCGTCATCACAGGGACGGGCTGCTCGGCTGGGGGCCTTGACCCCGAACGAAAACTGAAATCCAGCCAGAAAAAATTACACCCCATATAGGCAAAAGCTCTGTCTTTGCTGCGCGGTTTCGGGATACTCTCCCCCTCCCCTAAACCCTAAACCCTAAACCCTATATCGGATTCCTGCATAGGCCTTTGAAGGGCTTGGAGGCTTTTGAACCAAGTCCAACATCCAAACTAATGCAAGTGGAGTGGGATCCCGAGGGACAAAAATCCAAACTAATGCAAGTGGAGTGGGATCCCGAGGGACAAAATCCCAAAATCAGCAGGTGAGAAGGGGTACGGTGATATCAGGCTCCGAGTTCAAATCTTCCAAAATCCCTAGGTTAAGGAATAAAGCGGTTTAGGGTTTAGGGTTTAGGGACATTAAATTGCACTCGGATCCCTGGTATGAACCAAGGTATGTTCTTTAATCAAGGGATTTTGGAAGATCTGGGAAGCCAGAGTGAGAACCGGACAGCAGCAAAAATCTGTCAGACACAGCAAACTGGCGGAAGGCAGTAAGAGCCCTGAGCTCTAAACTTATCCTCCAAGCCTCCTCCCTAGACCCTAGATGAAACCTCAAGGCCCACACCGACAAGACCCCCGGTTGGAGCGTTCAGGGCCAAGTACTTGAAGACCCTGAGGCACCAAGCCCGAAAAGAGTCAAAAGCACGAACCCCCAATCATCCCAAACCCTAAACCCTAAATCCCCAAATCTCCCAAACCCGTACACTGCGGCCTCTATGACGGTTTGCACATCGCCAACCCCGCAACCTCCACCCTGCACACTTACAGACTCTGCATCCTAGGAATAAGCATAACAACAACAATAGCAATAATCTACACGGGTTTAGGGTTTCGGGTAGTTATAATAACGGTGATACCAACAGAACCACTAAGATGAGCCCCTTGAAGCCCCGAGCCCCAAGCCATCAGACTCTACAATTTCGCATCCTAAACCCTAAACCCTAAACCCCTAAACCCCTAACCTAAACCCTAAACCCCTAAACCCTAAACCCCTAAACCCTAACACTAAACC